GCCAGAAGGAGCTGTCTACACTGCCCCTTCTTGCGCAAGAAAAACCCTCTTGCGCAATCCTGTTATTCCTGAAAATAATCAGCGTAGCAGCATTGTGCAAGAGGGTTTTTCTTGCGCAAGAAGGGGCAGTGTAGACAGCTCCTTCTGGTGCAAGAGCCTCTTCTGCAAAACAACCCGCCAGTTTAGACATAGCCTAGGTGTGTGGGTTACACTTGCACAAGGTGAGTCGTGTGCTTCTGTTCTGGTGAGCCATCAGTTCGGGTACGGTTAGACGTCACAGTTTTCCCGGGATACCTCCCGGAAGAACTCTTCTGCGTCCAGGGAACGTGTTTGCTCTTCCACTTTTTTTTTTGCAATAGAGCAGACGCCCTTTCAGAAGCTCCTGTATTCTTCCTTCTACAAGGAAGAAGGGGGCTTCCAAAAGAGGGTTTTTTCCGACATTTGGCCCAGTCTAGAGGGGCCAAATGTCGGGAAAGCCTCTTCCGACAAAAGAATCAGAAAAAGCTGTAGTCTAGACCTACCCTCAGAAAAGAAGCTTGTGTCTCTGCATACAGATGGCGCTGAATTTCTTGCCCTTTTCGTTGGGGGGTATCAGCATTGTGGAGACTATTACGGGTGAGCACGGCTTGTTGTATGAAGAGCCGTGGCTTGAAAAATGGATGGGAAGCCTGTTTGACCCAGAGCCGTTACGTTTGATACTCACGCGAGGTTCTCTCCTTTTGATCTGCCAGCAAAGGGAGATCTGCAGGTTCCCGTCCCAGGAGTTTTACAAAAGTAAGCTGATGACCTCCCCTGAGCTTAGACGCCCGAACAGCGCCCTCGAACACCAGGGCAGAAGCTGCCCAATCCTCTTCGGGCACATTGAGGGGAAGGAGCAGAGCCTGATGGTCTCCACCGAGGAAGGAAACGAGAATTCCAAGGCTAACCTAGAAGAAGTGGAGCAGGCGGTAAGGAGCGAGATGGCCTTTGGCCAGGGGGCAAGGAGGGCGCCCGTGGATTTAGGGACGTATTGTTTTGCCTCTGGCGTTGTCTGCTCGCTGGGTGGGTCCCATTGAATAGTTGTCCGGCCAGAAACGCTCTTGAGCCAATCAGCTGTGAACGTGGTCGGCGGTGAGCCGGCAGTACAGCCCCACTGCCGTTGGGTCGTTGGAAGGGACTGCGAAGAGATGCGCAAGATCCCGTACGTCCATTGACACGGCACGGCTCTCTCCGTGCTGGACCTTCTCGCCCCATCTCGGGGGGGGCTGACGGGGCGTCACTTTTTGTCTTAGATCCACGATCAGTCTGCGCTGAGAAAACGCTGCCGGAGTCTCACCCTTCTTGCCTTCCTCAGCACCAGTGAGCTCTGGCCCCGCCTGCCAGCAGGCGAGAAACCGTCTTCGTGTAGATCAGCTGTTGTGAAATACCCGGCTGCGTCCCTACCCTCTTAGCCAGACGCAGCTAGCAGCAGCAGGGGGAGCACTGAGCGTAGATGGGTCTTCCCTGCCCTCCTGGCCAGGAACAGATCGGCCCCCGTGACTGGTCAGCCTCCTTGGAGCCCCGTGGGAGGAGCTGGAGCCAACGGGAGCTCCTGGGGAATCTGAGACCATCCAGCCCACCACTCCCCCGCATTGGGGAGCCCGTGCTGGTGCTCCGATTCCCTCCTCCCCACGAGGTTGGAGCACCAGCACTGGCGTCCTGCTGCCGGAGGGCAGGTTGGGGAGAGCCTTGTAGTCCGGAGCCAGCAGGTGGGGGAAGGAAGTGGCTCCATGCACTGCAGCTCCCCCTCCCCTGGCTGGTGGAACAGCAGTGCCGGAAACTGCTTGCCTGGAGGCTTTTCCCGCTGCTCCCATTGGTCAGAATTATGGCCAATGGGAGCTGCAGGGGCGGTGCCTGGGAGTGGCGGGAGGCACGGAGCCAGGTAAGCGCCCTCCATCCCCCTCATGTCCAGACCCTGCACCCTCATCCCCCTCCCGCCCCCTCCTCTCACCAAGACCCTGTACCCCCAGCCTGCTCTTATGCCCTCCCTCCCACCCAGACCTCCCACGCTCGGCCCTTTCCTATTGCGCCATCATGGGTGGTTGGCGGGTGGTCCGTGGGAAGGTCTGTGTTGAGGAGGGGGGGCTGCGGGCCCAAAAGGTTGAGCACCCTGCTTCACACATCGCCATGGCTCGCACAGCTCTGGGCTGCTCTGGGCCCCAGTGAGGACGTGCTGAAATACCCGGCTCTAATTCTGAGAGGTAGGGTCTTGTTGGTGCGGCAGCGAGCGAAGGCACGTCTCGGCCTCTCGCTCCTCTCTAGTTCATGTGGCTACCAGCACAGAGCAAAGATGCGATCGTCCTGCAGCTGTTTTTTACCCCTGGTTCCCGGTTGACATGGCGTTTTCAGCCAAGAGCTGTGCTGTGCCTGGCGCAGCTCCAGGACAGGTGTGGGTAGCCCTAGGAAAGCCAGGTTGAGTTTTCTTGCGTTCACATTAAAATCTCTGGCCTTGCAGCCCACGACTGGCTCTGCCCCCTCTCCTTTCT